GGAATGTAATTACGGATAGTCAGACGAAACCGAATTTATGTTAAAATGGCTTGCCATAGCCCCTTGGCTTCTATCCTTCCCACAGCCAACAACTATCCCCAGTTACGACTCCACATATCTCCGAGGAGGACTAAAACATGGCCAACACTGAGGTACGATTCAGCTGAAGAGACAGCCAACACTTGTTCCGATGTTGTTCTCACAGTCAGCTGGACTTTATCTAAACACGCTGTTGTTTTCAACGAAAGTGAACCTCATAGCTAGCTGTTAACAGACTAAAGATAGTTTTTTAGCTCATTTGTTGCTCTTTTGCTTGTTCTACAGGGAAGCAAGATGTGGGGAGGCCGTTTCGTTGGAGATACCGACCCAATCATGGAGAAATTCAATGAGTCCATCACCTATGACCAGAGGATGTGGGATGCTGATATCCGAGGGAGCAAAGCGTATGTCAAAGCTTTGGAAAAGGCGAAGCTGGTCAGCACGGAGGAGATGGAGCAAATTCTGCAGGGGATGGACCAGGTATGGATAAACTGTGCTGGACGTGCGGCTCTGGATTTTATAATAGACAAAGTTAGGTAGTAACTAGTTATATTTACTTTAGTAAGTATCGTAAAGTATAGTAAGTATCTTACTTAAGTAATATTTCTGGATACTGTGTTCACTAAATGGAGAATAAGCTTGTTATAACCAAAAATTGTTAGACACCAGAGTTGTGTAGTAACTAGTTACATTTACTCAATTACATTTACCTGAGTAACTTTTATTTATTTATTTATTTATTTATTTATTTATTTAATGTATTTTAGGAGTACTTTTACAACGCTGTACTTTTTAACCTTCACTTTAGTAATTTTATTATGAAGTATCTCTACTCTTACTTGAGTAAAGTTTCTAGATTTTCTACCCACTGAATAAAAAAAGCATGTTTTAACCAAAAAATTACCAAACACAGACACACACCTGCAGTTTTTGTTAAAGGTTCATATATGAATTGTTGTCATTCTGGTCCTTAAAATACCAAAATTTCCACATAGCTTTATATTTTGGTCTGTCTGATTATGTACTTTTAAATATTAAATGACTGATATTTTGATCAGTTACTCAGTACTTGAGTAACATTTTTACCAAATACTTGTACAACTGCTTTTTACGTTTACTTGAGTGAAAATGTGTTGAAGTAGAGCTACTCTTTCTTGAGTACATTTTCTTGACTACTCTACCCACCTCTGATTTTATAATAGGGTATTATATTAAAGGGGTGAATACAATGCAGGCCTAACCCTAACCTGCTTCACATATTTATGTATAAAATATGACAACTATGTTTTTCCTTCCATTATACTAAAATACCAACATGATAAACTGCAATTTATAGTTGTAATGTGGCAAAATTTGGGAAAGTTTAAGAGGTTTGAGTACTGAGAGAACTGAATGTCTCTGAATTTTCAACACACAAAACACAAAGCACCCACAGACACTCAAGCTTTGGACAGTACTATTATTATGTTAAAACTTGTAGAAGATTGATTCTGTGCATAGCTGTCTGGTAGACTCCGGTTAATAGATGACAGCTGAGAATGTGCCGTGGTGCAGGATTTCTGCTTCCTGCTGAGTGAGTTGCATACAATAGTGTCATCATGTGACAGGTGTCAACTGGCTCTTTCATTCAGGGCATTTTGTGCATTGCTCCATTTCATACTAGTGTTTGCTTCATCAGTGCAAGTAACTCTGGAAAAACCAACTATACTTTGGCCTGCTTAGCAGAATTTGAAAAATATAACTAATTATGGATACGTTTTATAATTATTTCATGTCATTATAGTTTAAAGGGGTATTATACATTTTTAGTTTTGCATAATTTTCTAATGTTATTTCCACATCAAAAACATACCTGGAGCGCTGCTTTGATTCTTTCATGGATGTCTGAGAAATCCTTTAATCTCCATAGCAACCATTCAGCTGTGGAAAGCGCCTGGGTGGACATAACTCCACCTTCGAGGTTGAAGCTCCTCCTCTGAGCTGCAGTTTCCAAGCTTCAGAGCTTCCGCCTCACAGAGCAGCCCTACCCCACTCAGATCCTTCAGACTAGCCAGCAGCAATTAGAGGACACCTGGTGGAACTGTGCACCTACTGAGCTCAATATACGAGCTACTTCTCAGTGAAACGCTGGTAATAATATTGTTAAATGATGAATAGAGGATCGATGTAGTGATTACATCCAGTTTTGGAAAGATCTTAAAAAGACAGAAGCCCAATTTCAATTTACGAAGTCAAATTTCTTCTAGGTCACGTTTGACATATACAGCATTTTATAATAACTGAAAGTAACATAGTTGCTTGATTGTGCTCTAAAATGATTTAATGTGGCTGGAAAACACAAAATACTGCCCCTTTAACTAAGTGTAACTTACAAGATAAATGGGTCCAATAACCAGTTATAATTAATCCAGTTTAGCTAATATTTTGTTTGAATCAGTTTGGTTCATTTTAATATCTATGAGATGATAAACATTTAAAGGCAAAAGGTAAAGTTAATCTTATTTATATAGCACATTTTCAGCAACAAGGCAATACAAAGTGTTTTACAGGAATTAAAAGGAAATACAAACAAAATAACAAACCAAAGGAAAGAGCAAAAAAGAAAAAAAAAGAAAAATAATCTAATGTTGATCTAAAGTATGTAAACTAGGTGCTGCTGTTCAGGGTTGCTAAGTGTCCTCTGGTCTAATTCCATTTCTGGGTTGGGAGAACAGGAGTCTGAAAAATAGTCTAACAATGTTGATCCAAAAGTATCCTCTGGGCTTCTGGTCTCTGCATCTCAATAGTGAGTACTCTACAGTTTCTAAAAAAATAAGCTAAAGAGTGACTAATCTAATCCCCTTTCTGGGTTAAAAGTGAGTACTCCACTGTTTCTAAATACTAGATACTCCTATCCAGGGTTGCTAGATAAGTATAAGTAAGTATCTTCTGGTCTAATTCCTTTTCTGGGTTGGAAGAATAGGAGTCTAAAACGTAGTTGCTAAGGTAG